CGGTGTGGTAATATTCGTCAGTGAACTACTTCGTTTTATGCGATGATATTCTCTGGTAGCATGCTATGATTAAAACTATGATATGGACTAATGTAAAATGACCTAACGGTGATTAAGGTCGCAACTACTTTGGAAATGTAAGTAATATATATATATCCTGTACCTGAGTGGATATACGGTCTTGTAAGCTGACCCGAGACGAGATGTCATTCGCCAAAGGACGGCTGTGGATTATTATGACATTTATTACTCTTTGGACACCTTTAAGGCAAACTTTCATGCTAATATGCCAATCATTGTCAGTGTCCTAATTCAACAGGTATAATATGCTTGGTTTTGCCCCAAAAAAACGATATTAAAGTACTTAGAGGTAATTTAGAAATTCTTCATGAAAACATTACTTATTACGAGAAGAAAAACAAGTGAAAATTTAAACCGCCCTTTTCTACCGACTCTTGATATTGGGAACGATAACAAATAATCCATAGATCATAAAAGTAGATTTCATGACAGAAATCAAACTAGGTTAATTTATAGGTTTTCTTATGACATACGGTAAAGATTTATGAAGGCTGGACATAAATGTAGTAACATACTGCATGTGTAAGCGCGATTCCCAAAGTATAAAGTTAAATCAAGTTAGCTACAAATAATTTTAGTCCCTTCACTGGAACATGATAATTTTACGTATGTTATGGTTTTAATGGATGCTTTCCTACTTAACAGAGAAGTGGTGTGTTAGATATTATTTTATATCATTTCATTTTTCTCATCTGATCTATCTCCGAACTAATAATGATAGTAACACCAATGGTAATGGTAATAATAATAGTAACAACAACAATAATAATAATAATTGTAATAGTGATGATGGCAATAATGACAACAGTAATAGTGATAATAATATTGATGATATGAAAAACAGTTATAGTAATAATCACAATGATGATATGAATAACAAGATTGATGATAATAATAATAATAGTAACAATGATAATAATGATGAAGATAAAAAATGATAATGATTATGGTAATAATAATCATAATAATAAAAAATACTAATGACAATGGTAATAACAACAGTAATAATAATAATGATGATGATGATAATAACAATGATAATTATAATAATAATGATAATAATAATAATAATAATAATAATAATAGTAATAATAATAATAATAATGATAATAATAAAATAATAATAATAATAACTATCATCACCAACGTCATCATCATCTAATAATAATGATAATAATAACAATAAGAATAACTGGCTATGGTCATCCTCCCCAGATCAGCTTCATTTTTCATAGAGAGGCAGCGGGTGAAGTTAGCTTCTATGTTTCATTTGCGGTGTGAAATGCATCTTGGAAATGATTTTGCTTCGCGTATATTCGTTTTTTTATTTCCACAGTTTATTAGGTTCATTATGTTCTGTCTCTCTCTCTCTATCGACACACACACACACACACACACACACACATATATATATATATATATATATATATATATATATATATATATATATATATATATGTATATATATATGTATATATATATATATATATATATATATATATATATATATATATATATACATATATATACATATATATATATACATATATATATATATATATATATATATATATATATATATATATATGTATTATATATATATATATGTATATATATGTATATATATATGTATATATATATATATATATATATATATATATATATATATATATGTATATATATTTGTGTGTGTGTGTGTGTGTGTCTGTATGAATGCATATATTTGCCTCTCCATTTATCTATCTATCCATCTATCTCTGAATATACATATGTATACGCAGACACATAAAGATAAACTCATGTATATTCATATTTTACACACGTATAAATCAAACAGCATATTTAAAAGAACTGTGCTTGTCATTCTCGTTTCGATCTCTTGCTGCAAAAACAGAAACCGTAAAATCATCGGTGCAATAACACGTTGCCACAATAATCAGCTGATGTTTCGTCCATTTAAAGGCGGCAATTTTTAAAAGGCAAACCAACCATGCAACGGTTCTAGCAATAATTTTGTATTTGCTGTATCAGATCATTCAGAATAAGAGAAAGTAGGAAGCGAGAGAGAAAGGTGATGTTATCAAATTCGGCAGAAAGAGCGGAAGTCTAATTAGTGGGAGAAACTGCCATTTTCCTTCCGAAATTCGGTTCGTAAAGAAATACTCGAACAAAATTACAGTTCGTGGATGATGGCCCGTCCACTGAACTTTACCGAGATCATTTTTTCCCTCTTTCTTTACGCATAAAACCTTTAAACTTTTATAATGCCACATATACGATATGCATTTTATTTTTTCTTCCATACATACAATTAACATCTCCCACGCATAAAATTTATATAGAAAAATTGAAACATTAAAAAGACGGAACGGCAACCTCTACCCTAATGGAGCTGGTCACGTGACCTCGCGATTTAAAGTACGGACCAATAGGAGCGCAGCGAGGGATTCCGGCCGACCAATCAGCGCTCTGTTTACACTCTGGCCGATTCAAAACCCTGCGAACCCGCGGAGTGCGAAGGTGGAAGTGGAGAGACGGGCTTTATTTTTGGCTAGAAATCGCCCTGAAAAAAACTTAAAGATGAGTAATCAGAAGGAAGAACCGAAGAAGGAGATACCCGAAGTGATCTACGACTCGACGACGGGGAGAAAGTACCAGAGAGGAAAGTTTTTGGGGAAAGTAAGTTGGGGATCGGGAGAGCCTTTGCCTTCTTCCCAAGCACCGTGCTCCCTGGGCTTTGTTTTCTTTCATTTTCTCCACCAGAGTTCCTTTATTTATCCGGATTAGTCATGTAGCTTATGTTTTAAGGCGGATGTGATTGTTCTGTCATTATTTTTTTTTCTAGAGGTGATCGAAAGTAATAAAAGTAAATGAAGTAAACGTAAAAATAAATCCTGTCACATGTTTCAGTTTTTTTCTTATTTCTGTCGATCTCTTATTTGCATCATCGATATATAATGTAATTCGCAGATATTTCTCGTATTATCTGATAATTAAAAAGACAAGATGGTAATGATTATAAACCTCGTTAAGTTTTATACAGCAGTTCCCTCTACAAGCGTTTATCGACGACGGATATTTATTTACAGTTGAAAAAGGTGTTAAGTCTTGTTATTATATCTAAACCCTCTATTTTCTATTTGTTCCATATTTTATTTTGACTGAGAATGGGTTTGAATGAGGACCATTTAAATAATACAACTACCATTACCGGTAAAACTATCCACTTGTAGTGAATATACAGTCTATGTTGAAAACGGAATTTAAAAATTACAAAACCAGGGCCATTATTGTCTCATATTTGTTTATTTTTTGACCATCCAGACCTTACTAGTGAAGTGTGGTTACTGATGTATATAATTGACATTCTCAAACTGTCAAAATTGGAAAACATGGACACTGGTGGAACAGCATATTTATTCAAAAGTTTGCAGATAGACGTTGTTGTATATGGTTGATATTAATTGTAGGTGTTTAGGCAGATATACATGTTTAAAATATAATTTAAAAAATCTTGATTGCCAAAGTGTATTCAACGATGCCTGGGGTGATGCTAAGATGATCTTATATGCCTTTTCCCAGCTATCCAAATAGTATGTTTGATTAAGGGTTGATGATTAGAACACCTGTATATTCAGAACTGGCCTTGCACGAAGCATCGAGACCCCTTGGAAGGTTTACTGCTCTGTGAAAGTGTGGAGGCTATGGTGATCACTTGACACTGAAATGCCATTATGTTTAACTTCAGATTGTAGGTTAGGTTGTGGCTAGGAGTGGATAAGCACAATGTTTTTTTGCTATTAATTTTCTTTACATATGGCTCCACAAGTTCTGAATTTTTTTGTGAAATCTCTTTGCACATAGATGGCTCTGCTAGTGCTTAGTCACAAAGGAGTCAATTAGTAGACCTTGTGACCTTACCTGATTTGAATTGGCGAAAAAAAAATATTTTTTACTAGTGCTATGAATATCGATGGTGTTATTTTTATTATAAACATAATTACTATAATGTTATAAACATTAACAGCAAATTAAGATAATGTAAAATATTTTCGTAAATCAAAGAAAAGGGTAAACGGGCGAGACAGGCAGTACTCGTAATTGGCTCATGGGTAACCTAGTACAAGTGTAGCCATCTATATGTAAAAACAATCAAACAAGTATCCCAAAGTGGGCATAGCACATAAGTACACTTCATGCCTGTTGGCAATGGGTGAATCTTTATTTTTTATTTTCCAATTTCTTTGGACTTTTTACATTAAACTAGGAATTTTATGATGAAATTGGTATGTACTTTGGTTTCTAAATATTTACATTCTTTTACAGGGAGGCTTTGCAAGATGCTACGAACTGACAGACATGAAAACCAAAGAGATATTTGCTGGAAAGATTGTTGCAAAGTCTCTCCTCGTCAAGCAGCATCAGAAGGAGAAAATGTCTCAGGAGATTTCTATCCACCGTAGCTTAAAGGATAGACATATTGTTGGATTTCATGGATTCTTTGAGGATTCAGATAATGTTTACATTATTCTTGAACTGTGCAGGAGAAGGGTGAGTTTTCATTATTTGACTGGTGAAAGTTTTTGGCATATTTGAAATAAACTGGGTAATTCTTTACAGTATGGATACACTCGCCAGAGACTAAGTCCCCAAAATTTATTCAGCAATCTAAGTTGCCATGACTGGCTGTGCCCAAGGGGAGGGTTGATAGGGGTCTCTGCCCCTCAACACCCTCCAGGGAAAATTGTCTTCACCTCAGTATGCATGGCAAGAGACAGCTGAAACTCGGATCACTGAGTAGACTTTGAACAACTATGAGTGGCACTTTCTGCTGTTGTTTTTCTTTATTTACCATTTGTGTCTGCCGATTAGGTCTTATACAAACAACTACAAATTTTATTCTACAAAAATGTCATCTT